TGCTGTTGATCACTGGATTGTGTGGACCAGATTTGATTATTTACTGACCGCTGCCGTATAGCTGGAATATTGCTGGGTGCGATGTGATACCACAAGCCAACCAGCCAACTTATTGAGTCAACAGATTCCAGTGATTTCTCTAGAACTAAATTTGTTTCATCATTGATATAGGACTTCTCTAGTGATATAGTGTCAGGTCACAATTAGGGTGTGGATGTCCAAACTGTGTACAGAACTGTAATTTGCTGTGAAGAATTGAGTCTTTTCAAATGTGTTCACAGACGACTTACAGAAATAACTTATAGTATGCAACACAGTTGCAACGTCAGAACACCCTTTGCGTAACGATGTTACTAGTTGTATCATATTAGTTACAGCCAACTCTTAAGACAGATAGGACTTGTTATAACTCCTGCAACATGGTGCAAGCTCTAAATCAGTCGGGACGGTAGGGTAGCCTAGTAGTTTAATGCATTCGCTCGTCACGCCGAAGACCCGGGTTCGATGTGTGAAGCCCATTTCTGGTGTCCCCCGCCGTGATGTTGCTGGAATATTGCTAAAAGCGGCGTAAAACCAAACTCAGTCAGTCAGTGAGTCTAAATCAGTCAAATCTCTTAGATTTATGTCAACCTCAGAGTGATGTCCCTTTGTTTGTGTTGCCTTCATATCAGAGCCACAAGTGAAGACGACTGAAGAAACTTGGTCTTACCAGATAAGAAAATACATGCTTCATAAGCTCTTATTTGTCCCAGGAACGCCAATGAAATGTTGCTGAGTCATGCACAAAAATCTCGTGAGATACAAGTTATATACCAATTAAAAAGTCTTTGCCATCTATATTATTGCTACAAGGGGGTGGGTACAAGCTGTTGCCTCAGGTCGCACCGTGAGTGAGTGAACTTGGTTTTACGCCGCTTTTAACAATATTCCAGTAATATCACGATGGGGGATACCGGAAATGGACTTCACACATTATACCCATGTGGGGAATTGAACGTGGGTCTATGGTGTGACGAGCAAATGCTTTAACCACAAGGCTACCCTACCACCCTGTCCACCATGAAAACACACCTTTACAGAAGACTGTGTGATCCCTAATTCACTTTGATAATGCTTCTAGCTTTGTCAGGACCATTATCATGCTCATAGGTTTCACTAAGATCGTAAATGTTCCTGACCTGCCTCAATTCTGGTTTTCGTACCACTTTATGCTCACACGCCATTTTGTAACTTAAATAGTGCTCAAAGTGTTGTTAAACAAAACAGAACCAATGTTAATCATGGTTTTGCTTTTGCCAATCCAAGCATCCAAGGCCTTAATTACTTCAGACTTTCCTGGTTGTGAGAGTAACCAAAATGGATTAAATGATTAAGCTTCGGACTGTTTGGATGGCATATGTTTGTACAGCGTGAATTGTTGCTTACAATCGTGATCACTGGTTTGTCTGGTCCAGATTAGAATATTTACAATCTCTTCAATATGTCTGTGTCCACTACAAAAAATTCAGGCTCTCCCCCTGGTCCACATGGACAGAGTATAGCAGTGTAACGGATAATACTAGGACTCCGTCTAAGTAAACTAAGGCTCAGTATTATTCGTTACACTGCAATACTGTATAGCAGTTTACTTGTCTTAGGACTAAGAGAATTAAGAGAGTAGACACTGCCATATTGCTGAGATACCTTTGTGCAAGTCTGTCCTGGATGTTATACTTGATTGTTGAATAAGCTATTCAAGTCTGTGAAGGAGTCAACCTCTCTGCACATGGTGTCATGTTTACACTATCTGTTAGTTTGCATCATAAAGTCAGTGTCTGCTAGCGTGTTTCTTTTCACATTAAGCCCAGTCTAAACTAAAATTAGTATCAAAGTTCACTCAGGAAGAACAGAAATATGTATATATACTGATAACAAGCTTTAACCTCTGAGTGAGTGAGGTGAAACCCTTATGTCACCATGAATACTGATATCGACTCGAACTGGTTAATTAATGTCTCTTCTGTCTTTCTCATTAAATAGATTTGTTTTGTGTGTTGGGTACAAGTAACAAAAAACCTCAAGTGACTTGTGGAATCTCTGATTTAAGTTGTATTAGGATGTCAACATCAAGTATCAGCTTCCCTTCTACAGTACAGGTTAAAATGATTCGAGTGACAATCAATATGTCAACCTTTCCTCCCCTCACAAAACATGGACTGGTCTGGAAAGAGGCCTTAGTACATGCCAACCCATTAGTGACAAGGGCAGATGTCAGAGAGCCCTAGTAATTCTAGCCTGACTCATATTGACCTGAAAGGGAGGGCAGGTTGGCCTGGGACGATCTAGGCTGCAGAGCCTGGATGAAGTGACCTTCAGTCTGCCCCTGGACTCAGCTCCACCCAGAGGCTATACTGACATGTTCTTATGAAGGGTCACGAGGGGTCAGGCGAGGTCAGGCGAGGGCAACACCGTTGACCTCCTTGCTTGAACTGTTTATTTTGCAGAGCCAAGGAATGAGAGTGTGATGAAAGAGATATATTTAGATCTAGCTGTGGAATGAAATGCATGTGTCACCAGTCCGATCTGGAATAAGCTGGTTGTCAAGGCTGGGCTTGTTTACACACTTATTTATATTTATGTTCACAGCTGAATGAGTTTGGCGAGGATAATAGAAATTGGGTGTACAGGGTTGCTGGTTGATAGTCTTCTCAGCCGGAAACAGAGCGGAACTATTGTTTGTTATGTGTGGATGGGGTTGTTGATGTACTTTGTTGACCTGAAAAATACTATGCAAGGGACACATTGATGCAAGACCACACTTATACAAATCATCAGACAAATGCTTTTGTCTGAAAATAGGAAAAGTCAAGCTGTCTTTTTCGTGAACATTATGTAAACAGTTGAATTTTTAGGGGATTCAGATATTCAAACAATATTAGAACAAACATCAAAGAAGCTAGGGTCCATGTTTAGTTTAAACAATAAATTGTTGAACATATTGTCACACATTATACAAACAGACAGGGAAATGTCATGAAGGTATTTATATTGTTAGGGGCTTGTGTGTTATGTTTGTTTAAGCCTAAATTTAATCAAATACATTTGTTATATTGATTGTGTATATCATCCATTTCAAAATATTATGAATCAGAATAATCTAAGCGCATATATGATAATGGTAACATTCATATACACTAATGGTATTCACCGCCTCCGTGGTGTAGTGGTTAGAGCATCCGCCCGGAGAGCGGAAGGTCGCAGGTTCGATCCCCGACCGCGTCATACCAAAAGATGTTAAAATATGGTACTTGTTGGTCCATGGCTGGCGCTCGGCATTAATGGGTACAACAAGGACTGGTCGGCTCGGAGTCAGTATAATGTTTCTGAGTGGGGTATTCATGCTTCACTGCGCATGGTATCTCAGTGGGCTAGCACTATAAAACGAGCTTCAGTCTGGGCTAGTACCAGCAGCCGCCCATACACATACACACGCATGCACGTCGTCATATGAGCGAAATATTCTCAAGCATGACGTTAAACCCAATTTCACCTCCCCTCACATCTAGGCGAGAGCAAAGTTAAATTCCATGGATTATGGGGGCAGTGGTTACCCATTTCTAGTGTCCCCACCGTGATATTGCTGGCATATTGCTAAAAGTGGTGGAGAACCTCACCCACTCACTCATGCATACACTCACGCACACATCCAGTCTCACTCACTCACACACACACCTTCTCACTCTCACTCACTCACTCATTGATTGTTTACTGGACACTATGGTGTTTGTGACATAAGAAAACAATTCATTGGCACACCAAAGTTATATTGATTAAATGGTGTAGCAATCATTTCTACCTCTTTCATGCTCATTCCCAATTATTGAAATACTGTGTAGCTTGAACCTGTTGAATGCCATAACTCTATAATGGCCGATGATGTAAGGTAATAGGATGCAGAAAGTAATAGGCCAGCTGCTGCCTCCTGATTTACTAAAAGCATTATGGTAATAGAATTAGGTTGCATCAGTGGTGATATCATATCTGATAGAATGGTACTGTCAGCCATGACAAATGGTATAATACAACATGACTCAGACACATGTGACAATTAATGGTAGATTTGTTTTTATGATTAACCCAGCGAAACAGAAACTCAACCATCTATTCATCTGCTTGTTGTATAAGCTTGATGCTGAAATCCAACATCTATTCTTCTGTTCGTGGGGTGGTGGGGTAGCCTAGTGGTTGGGGCATTTGCTCGTCACACCAAAGACCCAGGTTCTATTCCCCACATGGGTAAAATGTGTGAAGCCCATATCTGGTGTCCCCTGTCGTGTTATTGCTGGAATATTGCTAAAAGCGGCGTAAACTATACTCACTCACTCACTTAGAAAAAGTAGGATACGCTGAATAAACAGTACCACTCTCAGGTTTCACAAAATGGGGGACAGAATGCTAATAATTTAGAATACTAAGGTCAAGATCAAATCTCTCCAGAGTATCTCTGGCACATGTGAGGTGTCTCTAAGAAAGATCTTTGTCAAAAGAGTTAAAGATGGATTTGATCAAGGACATCAAGGGTCTCCAAACCTGTTCAGTGTTGGAAATTTAGCATGAAACAGAAAGTGTCTTTGTCGTACCTGATGTTACATGTAGCGTCACGTACAGCAGCAGAAACCCCAAGTGTCTGGGTCCAGATCTACAAAGCGTTCATAGAGCTACGACATTCGTAATTTTATGAAAAACTATTGAGTTACGATAACATTACGAACTCTTTGTTGATAGGGACCCAGTATTTGTAAATACTGCTCTTTCTTCCTGTTATTATTGTGGCTCGGGTAGCCTAGTGGGTAAAGTGTTCACTTGTTATGCCAATGAGCCGGGTTCGGTTCTCCACATGGACTGTGTGTGAAGCTCATTTCTGGTGTCATCCGTTTTGACATTGCTGGAATATTACTGAAAGCATGATAAAACTAAATTCACTCACTCACTGTTATTCTCGTATTGTCTCATCATTTCAGGTGCGGTCAGGAATGAACATCCTGGTGTGTGGGCCTAATGGCTGTGGCAAGAGCTCCCTGTTCAGAATCCTTGGCGAGGTGATATACTTTCAATAACTAAACACATAAACCCGTATTATCACTTATGGTAAAGCATGCAGGAATGTCTGATCACAATGCTAGGCCCCTTTGTACGAATAGCATGACAATATTAAACACTGTATCCTTAGCCGGTGATATTATGAATGTCTGTTGTACATGTTTGTTAAATGATATTATGTCATTAATCTCTATTTTCACTCTCTCTGACTTGGCACAGGATAATCCTCCATTTTTTTCCCGCAAATCAAGTTGGCATGTTAAACTGTGTTTTACATACTATTTTCAATAACAGACTTTGGTATCTAAATATTTGACATAGTAAGTAAAACAAAACAGTCACTTTTGACCCTTTGAGTGGCAGTGACTATATCGAGGTTACACAAGGTTTGTGGCTCAGTACCAAGGCTGATATGCAGGAACTCGTTGATTTCTGTGGCTTTGGAGTGGCCCTGCACATCATCATTTAACAAACAAATCAAAACTGACTTTTCAAGGTTTAGATTAGTTTCAATTGATACCTGTATAGAATGTTATAAAAATTGATAAAAATGTTCTGGTATGTCCTGATCTCATTATTTTTACACTCTTAGAAAAATGGATTACGGATCTAATTATTATTTTCAAATGCATTGCTTATGCGTGTGTTTTTGCTGGGTGGCACCAGACATATGCTCATCGTATTGTATCATCATTATCTGATTATGAATCAGAATAATAACCATGTTTATGATATAGTCTGAATTTAACCGGTGGAGAATAGGTAATGGTTTTGTTGCCTTTATAAGGAAACAGGGCGATTGGGTAGCCCTGTGGTTAAGGCATTCACTCGTCATGCCGAAGACCCGGGTTTGATTCCCCACACATGGGTACAATGTGTGAAGCCCATTTCTGGTGCCCCCCACTGCGATATTGCTGGAATATTGCAGGAATATTGCTGAAAGCAGCTTAAAAGTAAACTCACTCACTCACTTTTATAAGGAAACACTAGATTTTGTTTTTCAGCCTATGATAAACAGCTATCTTGTTATGACATGGATGTCCATGTAAACATGTTTTTATGAAGCATTCTCGGTCACTCACTAACCCAGTTCCTTGGTGGTGTGTTGATTAACCCGTTGATTGTTGTGCTTTCAGCTCTGGCCATTGTTTGGTGGAACCCTCACCAAGCCAGAAAAGGGCAAACTCTTCTATGTCCCTCAGGTGAGATCATGCAAAGGATAGTTTTATTTTAATTTTTAAATGGATTATTTGAATAATATGTGTAAAGTTACCTTTCAACCTGAAAATGGTGGGCAGGGAGGGTATAAAAAAACATAGAGCCCTTAGGGAAATCTTCGGAGAAATTGTTAATGTGTTAATGACCATGACCCTTCTGGCAGTCAGCACAGGTTTTTCAGTTCTTGTAATATTTGGAAGAAATTATAAGAAAGATGATTTATACTTCAAATTTTGTCTTCCTTATTGTCTAAACCTATTACATATGCTTCATGACAAAAGTCTTCAATCTGTTCATCCTAGGTATTTAACATCATTGTAATGAAAAATGCACAAGGAATTTACATGACTAAATGGAAGTATCATTAAGAAGCATTCCCTAAGGTAGTGTAGGATGGAACACTTGCAGCAGCTCCATCTTGATGATGTACGGTGGGGTAGCCTAGTGGTTAAAGTGTTTGCTCATCACACCAAAGACTGGTTTGATTCCCCTCATGGGTATTACAATGGGTGAAGCCCATTTCTGGTGTCCCCTGCCGTGATATTGCTGGAATATTGTGAAAAGCGGCATAAAACCAAACTCACTCACTCACAAACCATCCTTGAGATGAAGGCTGACTAGTATGTGATTGGGTAGACTTCAGTGTAAACTTGCTCTGAATATGTGTCATGCTAAGACTTCATGTAAACTTGCTATGTGTCATGCTAAGACTTCAGTGTAAACTTGCTATGTGTCATGCTAAGACTTCAGTGTAAACTTGCTATGTGTCATGCTAAGACTTCAGTGTAAACTTGCTATGTGTCATGCTAAGACTTCAGTGTAAACTTGCTATGTGTCATGCTAAGACTTCAGTGTAAACTTGCTATGTGTCATGCTAAGACCTCAGTGTAAACTTGCTATGTGTCATGCTAAGACTTCAGTGTAAACTTGCTATGTGTCATGCTAAGACTTCAGTGTAAACTTGCTATGTGTCATGCTAAGACTTCAGTGTAAACTTGCTATGTGTCATGCTAAGACTTCAGTGTAAACTTGCTATGTGTCATGCTAAGACTTCAGTGTAAACTTGCTATGTGTCATGCTAAGACTTCAGTGTAAACTTGCTATGTGTCATGCAGTGTAAAGACTAAGACTTCAGTGTAAACTTGCTATGTGTCATGCTAAGACTTCAGTGTAAACTTGCTATGTGTCATGCTAAGACTTCAGTGTAAACTTGCTATGTGTCATGCTAAGACTTCAGTGTAAACTATGTGTCATGCTAAGACTTCAGTGTAAACTTGCTATGTGTCACTAAGACTTCAGTGTAAACTTGCTATAAGACTTGTGTAAGACTTCAGTGTAAACTTGCTATGTGTCATGCTAAGACTTCAGTGTAAGACTTTGCTATGTGTCATGCTAAGACTTCAGTGTAAACTTGCTATGTGTCATGCTAAGACTTCAGTGTAAACTTGCTATGTGTCATGCTAAGACTTCAGTGTAAACTTGCTTTGTGTCATGCTAAGACTTCAGTGTAAACTTGTTATGTGTCATGCTAAGACTTCAGTGTAAACTTGCTATGTGTCATGCTAAGACTTCAGTGTAAACTTGCTATGTGTCATGCTAAGACTTCAGTGTAAACTTGCTATGTGTCATGCTAAGCTCATGTCATTGATCACTGGATTGTTGGTTATTTATAAGGTGTCTTTGCAGCTGTTATATAACAGGTTGAGGCAAGGGAAGTGCTCATACTAGTCTCTCTCAACCCATGTCCAATTATAATCAAAAGAAGTTTGACAACTCGAGTCTTTCATTGCACTATAGTGTTTTATGACATGACACATTAATTTTTGCGTATAAAAAAATAACACTATGAAAGAATTGGATGTCTTGCTACTTCTTTTGCATTGTATATTTGTATTTTGTCTTAAAGAATTACATGTTAAGTAGTGAATAGTTTGCTTATAGATATGCTTAAATTTTATTGCTAGATTTTGCTTCCATGTCAATACAAATTATTTCATTATTGTGACTCATAAGCCTGTTGTTTCTAAATTATCTATGGAGAATGTCATACATACTGATGTATTGTCATGTTGTGTCGAAGAGATTTATTTTCATGTGCATTACATAACTCCCATGATTCAGACATATAAACCTGGTGTATATAAATATTTATTTTTGCGCAGAGATAATAATGCTTACAAATATATTTTCAATTTCTGTTTCCTAGAGTTTCATATACTTTGAATAATTGCATAATTTTGACTCATAAACCTGTTTTTGCACAAGCCGTACAGTTTATGGTCTGAGGTTGTGTGTCACACTGTGCTGGTGTCGTCAGCATCCTATATGTAGGAAAGGTTGCTGGTAACTAGAACGAAGAAGCATGACACTATGGATTGAATCACTTGTCGCCCATCCTTCTGATAGACGGACAGTTTTGTTTTGGTTCTGGAGAAGCAGTTTTATTGCCATTGTTCTGAACGGTTGACTGCCCATTTGTTTCAAGGCTTGTGACGTTTATGTCCCTATCAAGCATGGCCACTGCTTGACAATTGCGAGGACAAAGTTCCATGTAGGTCGAACAAACATGTCCTTGAAGTGACAGTAGCTCATTAATCCTCATGAATCTGTTTTTGTTTTGAGGGATCAGACGAACATTTTGAACTTGCGTATCTTGTGAGGGTTTAGGTAAGCTGTGCTAGTAACAGGAGGAGGTGAATTTATGGGTTGATGGGTAGAGTCAGTGTCAGGTTGATAGCATGTCATTGTTTGCCAACAATGTGGATAGTTCCTCATAATATCAATCACTGGGCCTGCTTCTTCAAAGTTGATTTAGGGGTGATGGGCGGCCTAGTAGTTAAAGCGTTAGCCTGTCATGCCGAAGACCCGGATTCATGGCGTAGAACCATACTCACTAGACCGGATTCATGGCGTAGAACCATACTCACTCACACTCTTCAGATTTGATTGTTTACAGCCGACTCTCTTTGTCCTCGAATATTGCTTTGTGCAGTGTATACAAATAAATACATGTTTAGGGAGACTATGCTCAACATTTGGGTTTTTATCATTTGTTGTCCTCATAATTCCTGTCTCAATAACCTGACTCTGCTTTGCTTTAGGATAATCATTAACTGGTAGATTAATTTATATTCTATGCAGTTAGTTAGAAGACAAGCAAATGTGTTTTGTTAGACTTGAATCAAACATGTTTTGACAGATTTTAAGAGTATAATTCCCATGTTGTGTTGGAAAATAGATTATATACCATTGATGATATTGTTTGCAGCGGCCATACATGACTGTGGGGACGCTGCGAGACCAGGTCATCTATCCTGACACACACACTGACCAGCTGAGGAAAGGGGTCAAGGACAGTGACCTTGCAGAGATCCTGAGCAAGGTGAAGGCTATATCTGGGGCTGCTTGTTGACAGTGTTCAGCATATTTTTGTCAACCTCAATATAGTGATGCATTGATTGCTCTCATAAAGAACATTTGTTTGACCTTATATTTATATGATTAAAAAAGTTGTATTTTTGTGAATATGTTTTTGTAGGGCAGTTGTAAGTTTAATCTGCAAATTGTATTTTGAATATCAAATATAGCCAAAACAATCTTGCATGGCACCATAGTAATGATAAACTGCTCAAAAGAAGTTAGGAACCTCACATTTGATGCAGATTACTGTAGTTAATCTGACCTGGCCCTTGTAAAACACATAGCTTTCTCTGTCCCTTGAGGACGCTCCTGGCCCAGTTGATAGAGGTACCACAATTCATTCACTTCAGTCAGCCAGGAAGCTAGGGCTGTGTGTAAGGCTACCAATGTTAAGGTGTTAAGCAACACATAAAACTAAGCAAAACACAACCCACACATCCACTCAATCCTCTCAGTCCCTTCTAGGGGCGGTGGGGTAGCCTAGTGGTTAAAGCTTTGGCTTGTCATGCCGAAGACCCGGGTTCGAATCCCCACATGGGTACAATGTGTGAAGCCCATTTCTGGTGTTCCCCGCCGTGATGTTGCAGGAATATTGCTAAAAGCGGCGTAAAACCAAACTCAGTCAGTCAGTCAGTCAGTCAGTCAGTCAGTCAGTCAGTCTCAGTCCCTTCTTCATTCATTTGTCTGTGTTTCAGGTCCAGCTCGGCTATATCCAAGACAGAGAAGGAGGTTGGAACTCCATACAGGTCAGTGATGTTATGGAGTTTGCAACGTGGGCAGACGTCCTGTTTTTAAGCATTTTCTTCAGCATGATTTACAACAAACTACACGCTGATGGAAAACTAGAGCTGCATTTTTCTGTAAAGACATGTTTTTTTTCACAATGTATTGTTTGTGAACTAGAGAGCCTTCAGCTCTCGTTTGAACACATCAGATTTTACCATTTCACTTGTCATGCTTGTAGGTGTTGATTTATGTTTTAGAGTTTAAACTAATAGCAAATTCTGAAAATTATTTGTTACTTTTTTTCAAAATTGGATATTTATTCTTTCTTTCCAAATTCTGGGGTATTTTATTTTTGTTGAAATCAAGATCTTTAAATTGAGGTTGAACGGGAAGAAACTTAAATTTGTTATTAAAGATGACATCTGATTGACAAAGCAATGCTAAGGAACACATGCATACTTCAGTTAGAGTTTGTGCTCACTGATCACCTGATGTCGATTCATCAGGAATGGTGTTATTCCGTCATCAAAAGTTCGGAGTAAGCACAATTCATTCATTCGGCACTTATAATAATTCTTAACTCTTTGCTTATTCTTTAAGTTTTCTTAAGAGTTGTTTTCATGTTCCTGGCAGGACTGGATGGATGTGCTGAGTGGTGGGGAGAAACAGAGAATAGCAGTAAGTGCTGCCATGTTGTTGTATGTGTTGAATTTGTTATCAATGGGAGTTGAGCAGAACTATGGTGGAGTGTTTGGTCATCGTGCCAAATCCTGGGTTCTATTGCAATTTCTTATGTCCCCAATGGAAATTCCTGGATTATTGCTGAATGGGGCATGAAACTATGCTTGCTGAATTCCTTTAAATGTAGCTTAAGTTTTACCTAAAGCTTTACAAACTGTTAACAAGTTATGAACTCAGAATACAGAATGTGTTCAAAAGATTTCATGACATTTCTAAAAAAGTCAAGATTTTTCACATGGAATCAAGGTTTGAACAACTCAAGTAAACTTGTGCTATTCAAAATAGGGTGTTTGTGGAGATGGACCTATTTTATTGATTATTAATGTAAGTAAAAGATGTTTGTATCTGCCATGCACTGACAAATGCTGCTAATGTCTCCAGATGGCCAGACTGTTCTACCACAAGCCACAGTTTGCAATCCTGGATGAGTGTACGAGTGCCGTCAGTGTGGATGTAGAGGGCTACATGTACAACCACTCCAGAGAGGTAGATTGTCTTTTCTGTGTCATTTATATTGATGTTGTCAATCCCATGTGTACATAACCAAGGCTAAAACCCGGGTTACAATTGGTCTTTAGCCACCCATGCTTGTCGTAAGAGGCGACTAATGGGATCAGGTGGTCAGGCTCGCTGACTTGGTTGACACATGTCACCATAACCCAGTTGCATTGATCAATGCTCATGATGTTGATCATTCGATTGTCTGGTCTAGACATGATTATTTACAGACCGCCGCCATATAGCTGGAATATTGCTGAGTGCAGCGTAAAAGTAAACTCACTCACCCGCTTGTCGTTAGAGGCAACTAACAGGATTGGGTGGTCAGACTCACTGACTTGGTTGACACATGTTTTTTTTAAAGATGCTAAACACCAAACTAACATACTTGTCCATGACTTACTGGCAGCTGTGATATCATAACTTGATTATTGCTCACTGTCCAGTTAAATAACATTCTCTCAAATAATACAAGGGGTGGTGGGGTAGCCTAGTGGTTAAAGTCGTTTGCTCATCATGCCAAAGACCCGGGTTCGATTCTCCACATGGGTACAATGTGTGAAGCCCTCCTCTGGTGTCCCCCGCCATGATATTGCTGGAATATTGCTAAAAGCGGCGTAAAACTAAACTCACTCACTTAAATGACATAATCTTGTGCACCCTATGCACAGAAAACTGATAATGGTTAAAACCATAGAGATAAGCCAGCAGTGGAATGTTTAGGGGGGTCATGGAGTTAACATTGAAATCCTGTATGCTCTACTGGATCAAATGTCATTGGATACTATTGATAATGAAGATCCTCATTATTAGGTTTTGGTTCAGTCACCTGCATTACAATTTCAAGCATGACTGCGGGAAATTGCTGCAGTACATGTAACTGTTTCAGTTATGGAAATGTTTTTTCATATCTGAACTTTTAAATTACCTACGTAAACTGATCACTCAATAGACTTCTACCTTTGGGTAGTGTAAGTTCCTGATTCTCTGCATGTTTGAAATGTTTACCTTATGTGGATTAGTTTGTCCATACGTCCTAAATGATGGCCTAATGGTTAAAGCGTCTGCTCGCCATACCAGAGACCCGGGTTCGATTCTCCATATGGGTACAATGTGTGTCCCCCGCTTTGATATCACTGGAATATTGCTAAAAGTGGCGTAAAACAATACTCACTCACTCCTGGCTGAGTGTGTCTTGGATCAATCCTTGTGAGTCAGTTAGATCCCCCTGGCTGAGACTTTTTAGCTTACTTGACTGAAACTCAAGTGAGCATGTGTTGTGGCCATCATGCAGAGTAAACCTCTCCTCAGAAACCAGGCAGTGGGTTAGCCTAGTGGTAAAGCGTTTGCTTGTCACGCTGAAGACCCAGGTCCTATTCCCCACATGGGTACATGATGTGAAGCCCATTTCTGGTGTCCCCCGCCATGATATTGGTGGAAAATTGCTAAAAGCGTCATAAAACCAAACTCACTCACTCACTCTCTCAGAAACCACTTAATCTTCTAATGCCGATGTTGACATTGTTCAAGAGCTGGTTTTTTCTCAAAGTTTCAATATGGCTGCCAAGGGAGCCATACTGAAAAATGTGACATGGTATTATTTATTTCATGGATTAATAATAGCAGCAGTATATAAACTCATTTTATCACTGCTCATTGCTTTGTAGTTATCTTGTCATAACCCCCAAACCCCTGCCGAAGTAACCCGTGAAGATCTGGGTTAGAATTGATCTTCAGTAACCCATGCTTGTCATAAGGGGCAACTAACGGGATCGGGTGGTCAGTCTCGATGACCTGGTTGACACACGTCATCGTGTTCCCAATTGTGTAGATCGATGCTCATGCTGTTGATCTCTGGACTGTCTGGTCCAAACTCAGTTATTTACAGACCGCCATATAATTGGAATATTGCTGAGTGCAGTGTTGAAATAAATTCACTCACTCATGCATAACCGCCATGGTAATAATGTAATGTTTTCTTGAAGATGTGATACTTTGATACGATTCTATGTAATCCCTTTGTTCCAGGTGGGCATCACACTCTTCACTGTATCACACAGAAAGTCACTGTGGAAGCACCACGAGGTGAGATAATCTTCTGGTTAGGAAATTAGTTTATGTCTACCCATTCTGGAAATAAATATTGACACTAACTAGTGAAGGAGAATACTTTTGCATAGCTGGCAAAGTAAACCTTCTAGCATCTAACTGGCACCTCTGTTTGTATGCTTCCTGAGGAGCTCAGAATGAAATTACACTGCATGTTGATAAGTTGACTGGTAATAATACTCGTGAGCTGTGAAGATGAGTCTTAGAATTGGTCTTCAGCAACCTTTGCTTATACCCCACTTCCGTCTCGTTGCCATGGTTTCCTTTGTCTGCTACATGTTGTTCTTCAGTCTGAGGGGAGGTGGGGTAGCCTAGTGGTTAAAGCATTCGCTTGTCATAGTGAAGACCCAGGTCGATTCCCAACATGGGTACAATGTGTGAAGCCCATCTCTGGTGTCCCTCGCTGTGATATTTCTGTAAAAGTGCTAAATTGACGTCCAATTCCCCCTCACCTGGCACTGTCTGATATTTGTTCAGCTGTAAATAACAAACCTGTTTTCTTGTTCCAGTACTACTTGAAGATGGATGGCCGAGGAGAGTACGAGTTCAAGCCCATCACTGCTGACACCACCGAGTTTGGGTCTTGACCTTCATGCTGCCTAGCACATGATGAAATTAATCCTGAAATCTGAAAACGTTTCAAACCATTGTGGACTGTGACATAATATGGATATGTTCTATGATTGTGCCTTTTAGATCTGTAGATCATATTTGTTATTCTTGTGAGGAACATGGCAAATTATCTTATTACCGTTGTTACTCTGCATAGTCTGCATAGTAGGCAGCTTGGTATCTGGAAGGGATGTAGAACCGGGCAGGCTGCATTGTACAATACACTTCTAGAGAGCTGATGTGCTTAAATTATTTTATGATTGCCAAAAGTAATGCTGAAGGGGTTGTTCAAGTATAGGGTCCTACAGAAAGGAACCATCACCAGAATTATGACACAGAAATCTCTGACAGCTGCATGGAGCCAAAGAAGCTGGAAGAGTCCATTTACAAGCAAGTGAATCGGTTTCCATTTTATAGGTTTGCTGCATTGGTATCATCCAGTGATGACTAATGAAGAAAGTCTCTGGATTCCTTTGTTATATTTTATTAACCATTTTTATACTTTAGGAACCTTTTTACTGTAAAATATGTTCATTTCAGAGACTAGATATGAATCTATGATGAGACTAATTTCCGTAGGATTCTGCATGGTATATTTTAGACTAACAGTTAGTCTATGAAAGTATGTGATATTGATATCCAGCTCCATTTAAACTGAAATGTAACCCCCGGTGAGATGGTGGATTCTATGGGTAACCTAGACTTGCTTCTTTCAGGCTAAGGTATTACAGGGGGGGAAGGAAAAATAGGTTGGTTCGGAGTTTGTGAGACAATGTGTCCTTTATTCTGATTTCATCAAGAGAATATGAAAAAATGCTGCATAACTATAGTACCATACTTGACAACATCCACTTCAGCAGAAATAACATAGCAGGCAAGCAGTTACTTAATTGTAGCTAGAAGAATTGATAAGATGGAACTGTTGTGGGGAAATTGATGCCAGTGCATCTCTTTCATCTAACAATTCAGCATTCCTAATCATGTAACTGATTACACAGTAATTTGGAGAGACATATCCTGTCCAAACACATTATGTGAAGCTTTATGTTATCTACCGGTATTTGGTACGTGTATACTTGTTGAGTATGTTTTATGGAGTGAAGAGTTCCTGTTGAGGATATATTTCATAACAAGTTTTTGAAACAGTATAAGTATGCTTGTATACGGCTCCATTTTTTATGGGGATTCTTATAACATCCTGTTTAGGTACTGTACATGAAGAAAGGTATATCTAATTATCCCTTTACAAAATGGAGCAGTATAAATAATGGGAAAATGGACCAGCATTTCTTGAACAGAACATCCCAGCTGTGGAATCAATCCCAGTACAAGTCAGATATTAGCTCCTGTCGCTTCTAAACAATGACTTGTGGACATCACATTATGGGTCAGGTTAGAGAGAAACAACAACACACACACACACACACACATCCTCCCCTCTCTCTCTCTCTCTTCCCCCTCAAAAACAAAAAAAAACAAACAAAAAACATCATCACACACCATGAACGGTCCCTTAGAAAACACTTCCGACTTTCACTTTCTTGATCAAGAAAGGGCTCAGATTGGATCTTGCATTTCATTGGTTGGTCAAAGTTCGTGAAAGGTCGTTCTGACGTCATCTGCACTGGGATGCCCTCAGATCATTGTTTTGGCAGTAGCAAGTCCTAAGATCTTACTTTAAGGATATTGACAGAGGAGAGGGTGTAGTAAATAATTGTATAGATGTCAATTTCATTATTTACACTGTGTTGACGTTTCCATGCAGATGCCAGTGTTTTCGGCATGTAGAATGTGTCTATGCTGCACATCGTAACAGTGTAAATAAAGACAATGTCATCGATACAAGATACTTGTCATTCCCTCGCCGAACTTCAACTATTCTCATCAAATAATTAACCATGGAATACTCTAATTAGACTGGAAGTATATAGGAAGTATTTATTGAAGAAATGAATGGTCATGGATGAGGGTTTGGTGGACATCTTACCTCTCATTGTTTTATCCTGGTGATGTGTTGCATGCAGGTGCTTTAACTTTGACATGTGAGTGGAGATGAACATACATTAACTGATACTGCTTCACAAATTGGTCATGAGAAAAGAACATTTATTACAAAATATTTTTGCCCTCTAAAGTTAAACTGGGCAGAGGTTTTTATGAAACTCTGGTCAAGACTGTTGTTCGTTTAGGTGCTTGCTTCTTTGGCCTCCTTGTAAACCTTCAGTCTGGGACTAAATGATTATGACAGTTTGAGACATTCATACCTAAGGCAGACCATTAGGGCCAAAACATTTTCTCTTTTGTCTTGAAAGTTCAAGTTCTTATTAGGCTACAGTGTCATCTTGCAACAATGTCACTTCAAGGCAGAAAGTGAACCTCAAAAAGTTCATTAGTTGAATTCAGTTTATCTTGAATTTTCAACGTAAGTGAAACAAATTGCCCTGATGGGCTGTTACACACTTCTCATATATCTGCTCACCTGAACAAATAAGAACATTGATTGAGTCGTAGCCAGCTGAAAACATGTTGCTCATAATCTCTGTCTGTTATGTTGTTCGTTTTCATATACATGTAACTGCTTTGAGAAGTTGGAGCAGTAAGGAAGGATAACAATATATGGATGAACAACTTCTGTATTTGCTGTGAGAGCGACATTTCGGTGGACCATTAAAAGCAAGTGATCGCTTGATGATGGTGTTAAAACCTGCACCTAAACATAACTTCCACTATAATCAAGATATTGTTCATCCTTATATTGTTATCCTTCGTCATGTTCATATTATTACGAGGTTGGTGTATTTTTTCCTGATATTTATTGGGTCATACAAGGCACTGCAGTTCGCCATGCAGTGTCGTGTCCTACTGGGACATCAAAAACCTGAGATTGTGGGTTCAAATCCCGGTTTGCCCCTGTGAGGCTTGTTGGTTTGTCATCACCAATGTGGTCAATATCTGTGACCCGCGGCACATGTCAGGCTTTCCTCTCATGAAGCTGACATGCCTGGATGGAATACTGTCTGAAGGGGCATTAAACTCAACTCACTCACTCACTCATGTTTATCTGATAGGGTCCAGGTTACTGTCAATCCCAACAAATGTCCTCACTATCTATGCTATACATGTACAACAATACTAAGTCCACAGTTGCCTATTTTTCTGTCAGTTGGTTTGTTCTGGAGAGTGAACAGCGTAATTACAATCAAATAAGATTGTTAAGTTAGTAACAAGTTATCGGGGAACAGTTCAAATGCGTGTGTGGGGCGGTGGAGTAGCCTAATGGTTAAAGCGTTTGTTCATCACGCCGAAGACTCGGGTTCGATTCCCCACATGGGTACAATATGTGAAGCCCATTTCTGGTGTCCCCCCGCCGTGATATTGCTGGAATATTGCTAAAAGCGGCATAAAACCATATTCACTGGTTAAAGATCATAATTCTGTTTTTAGTGTAGGGCATTTATCCAGCTTGCTACATCCACGTAAAAATTCTCAGTCAGTAACATAGCAGCTTTTTTGGGTGTAACATTAATGTGAAAATGGGTGGCACTACTATGAGATGTAAAAACAGTGACAGTTGAAAATTGCACAAGTCTCTAAGGCAATAATTCTTAGTTTTGTGCACCTTCACTGAATATTAAGTCCATTGTTTGGTCAACCAACTAATAAGACCTAACAGGCTGATGAAACTATGTCCTTCATCCAACGTCAAACCATGGTCAAAAGCCCATGGTCATTCAACTTTCCTTTAATGTGTTTGGCATCCACATATGTTTAATAGTACATGTATTCACATGTGATGAATATCATTATTTCCTCAGCTGTTGTACATGTTTACATAGCAACCATACTTATTTGCAAACATATTTATTCACATTCAGTACACAATCACTGATGTACAACTCTTTAAAAGTAAGGAAATATTTTGAATGATTATAAATCAGTAACCTGGAAGGCTATCTATGCCAATGATTATATACAAACAGTTTTAGTCATTCAACAGCTGTCCATACTGCCGTTTTTGTTCACTCTGAAACCGTAGTTTCCACAAGTATCTAATTTCTTGATCACCTGAGTAGTTTTTGTATAATTTGTAATGTCTTTGTACTGGATTAATGAAGTCATGGTTAATTTAATTGATGCATAATGGGTTGTATAGAACATTGTGTTTTGTGTACTTATACAAACCTGATGTTTCGTGTACATATTTCAGGAGTTATGAGTGTATAACATATGGTCCTTCTACCTGTGATCAACACAAAACTGGTTTGATGAACAAAAAATTATGAAATAAATATATATTTTTACCCAGTAACACCCATGTTGTTGTCTTTCAACAATACTGATGTATTAACAATTTGTTGGCATGGATGCTTTTTTCAGAAATGATTGTTGATTATTCTGCGTTCCTTGCAAATGAGCAGGAATTGGCAGACATTTTTGTAACGTTTGGATTAATAAATGGCAATGAATTCACTGCTCAGATTACATTTATGTTATTGCTGTTATTGCTGACTTGATGTTTAAACAGTAACAGAAGTGAAGGTACTGGCCCAAATGGGGCAGTGGGGTAGCCTAGTGGTTAAAGCGTTGGCTCGTCATGCCGAAGACCCGGGTTCGATTCCCCACATGGGCACAATGTGTGAAGCCCATTTGTGGTGTCCCCCACCGTGATATTGCTGGAATATTGCTAAAAGCAGCGTAAAGCTAAACTCACTCACTCACTGACCCAAAAGGGAGGGGGCAAGTCAGGGACCTTGTGGAACCACTGTATCCACTGAGTATGGGAAAATTGGAAACCCTTTAGAAACCAGACGTTTATCATATCAGCACCTGCATGCTATGAATTATATTTGTGCAGTGATGTAGCACAGTGGTTAAAATGTTCGCCTGTCACACCAAATACTGGGTTCTATTCCCGTGTGAAGTACATTTCTGGTGTGTTTCCCCCATCCCTCTGTGATATTGGTAAAAACAGTGTTAAACTATAGTGAGCATCCAGTATTAAAAGGCAGGGATATGGACTTGCTTGACTAACCAGGATCAGGTTGGTGCTTTTATCACTGTATGCTCACTTCACAGATCGATGCTCATGATGTTGACCACTGGATTGTCAGGCCCAGATTTGGTATTTACAGACCACTGTCATACAGCTGACATATGCCAATAAAGCAAATGTAACTTTGTCTCATTTTTGTTTCCCCTAGCATTACAGAGGAGGTGGGGTAGCCTTGTGGTTAAAGTATTTGCTCATCACACCACCTCACCTGGGTACAATGTGAGAAGCTCTGCCGTGATATTACTGCAATCTTGCTAAAAGCGACATAAAACTAAACTCACTCACTGACTCCCCAGTATTACTCTAGGAGGGCTATGCACCTGGGTTCTATTTTGGATTTCCATATGTGCTGCTGCACAAAAGGTTGCCGTGCATCCAATTTCAAACAAATAATTGAAAAAACCGGGCACTTCATATTGAAGACCAATTACCTGAGGTCAATCTTCAAAAGTTTCAAAGGCCACTGTTTCTCACTTTCTTCCAACTGTGTGCAATCTGTGAGATATGCATGAAGAGGATCGATGGCTTCCTGGAGATATCATGAATTAACAATGCTGAACCTCATCCATCCACTGTACAGAGAGCTGTGCCGTGGTCTCCCACTGAGCCAGTGTTGGCTGAATCCACAGAACATGGGAACTAGTGCTGCTTGAAATAATACAAGGGTCCAGCAGCACAGGAGCATTTTCACAAGACAAGTTTATCTCTTTGTAGTTTTTAATTCTTTCTGCCTGAACAAAAATAAGGTACGTTATGCAGATTTTGCTGTGCTCCAAGAGTATTTGTATGTGATTTAGAAAACATCAGAAATAAAGCTTCTTTAAATGATGGTTTTATTGAAAGTAGGGAATAATATAATGATCCGAAATTTTACAAAAATCTGGTGTTTAACCAGGAAAATTTTATGTTATATATCCTTTAAATCCTATCGCCTGAATATTTTAAAACATTTTTGGGGTGTCAATTTCACAGAAATAATGCATGTTTTGAAGCAGAGTCAGAAAAAATAGCACGTCTAATAACACAAAACATCCCACAGACTCACACCACGATTATAAGTCCGTTTCTTTCTTAATTTCAGCATTAACGATATGACTGTTAGTGAAGACAGCTGACCAATAGAACCTACATCAGAAGACTGGTTCCCTTTGAAGATCACTCATGAAAGTGGGCACATATGGATGGGGAGTCTAAAGCTTCACTACACAGTACCATGAGGCGAACAAAAACCGGTGGTGGTGGGTCTCGGTCTCAGATTTATCTGAATATTAACCTTGGTCTGCTTTAAGGGTGTTCAGACCTCAGACCTGTCTCACTTCCTCTCACACTGAACCAAGTTGCCACGACAGTACTAATTAACACTGTGTTAAAAGCTCTCCCATATCAGGAAGGTCGACAGAGGTGCAGAGGTGTGTCTTAGATCTGAGAACCTCGTTTTTATTCAGTTCATACTTTGAGATATTTTTCCATTTGAGCATGCCCATGATAAAAGCCACACGCGGGGGCTTGGGATTTTTCATATTTAATTGAAAAAGATACGTTCGCTAAGTCCAACGTTTCAAAGCAAATACTCTTTCAGCTGAAATAAGTCACTCGTAAATTTATGGCATGTTCATAAAACGAGAATGCACCATTCAGCCTCATTCAGTCCAGGGCTGATTTCAGAGGTAATGCTCATTTCAACAGTTCGTTTCTTCAGTGACTAGTTGATACGTTAACTAGGATCAGAATGGTTCACTCTGTTCCCAGTTCTACGACTCCACTTAAATTGACAAGACATTCAAAGCTCTGCCTGCTTGGTCCGTCCCTCATGCTTTCAGTCACCAGTTTGCCTGGACCTAAATTCGATATTCACAAGCCGCCGTGCTGCATGTCTGGAACATCGCTGACCGTGGGGTTAAAGGCAATCCACGTGCTCATTTCTGGTATGCCTCTATTTTACAACGTTACCGACAATACCAAGCATATGTTATTTTAAAGGAAGTCATCCAGCAACATAACAAAGTGACATCATGACAATACATCAAGACGGCTCATGCTGTTGATCACTGGATTGTCTGGTCCAGACTCGATTATTTAGAGACCACCGCCATATGGTTGGAATATTGCTGAATGCGGCGTAAAACTAAACTCACTCACTCATTAAGACGTTAAAACGTAATAATAGATTTCTCTTTCTGCACAGGACACCAGATTTAGCAAACAGTTCAGGGCATAACGTAGCACGATAACTTAGGTTTGCGGATCAAAGTGAGAGCGAACGATCAGTGATTAGCATCTGTGTAATAGTTTACTTGGGTTAAAATATCCTTTTTAGCACGAGAAGACCACTGTGGTCTAGTAGTAAGACGAAGGCCCGGAGACCCGAAAGATCGTTGGTTCGATCACCTGATTGTGTCCAGCAAAGATCATATAATAAATATTATTACATGGTCTCTGATCCAATCAAAAAGACGTAAAAACGATACTAGTCACCATGCTTGGTACTCAGCACTGAGGGAATATCAAGGGCAGGTCGGCCATGAGGTCAATATTATGGGTCTGAGAGGGGTATCCTGGTTAATCTGCAGTCTGGTTCCCTGCGTATGCTGCGCTTCTGCTTCACTTTAGTGTTAAGTGAAGCGCAATTTATTTAGCGCAGCACACCGGGATCCATGCTTGTTAAAATGCGGAATTGTATCTCAATGGACCAGCACAATGGAACCGTCATTTACTCCAGAAAGGTACAAGCAGCTGTGCACACACGAGTGCTAGGTTCAAACCCGTTTCATTTCACCTCACCTTTAACTTGTTATAGTGTAAACATATTTAATTCAAAATACATTGAACTAGGATTGTAAACAAGCCGTACTGGCTTATTTGAATACCTCTCCATTTCATTGATACATGGATAAAACAAATATTAAATAATATGCAGCATGATAGGAAATCAAGCAACCTGCGTATTGAACATCATTCATCATTTATCAAACCTATGCGAATTTATTATAACAGTATGGACAGATTTTACTATAAAAGAGTTTATAAGTTTATTTTTGTTTGGATTACCATTTAGGACAGAATTTAAATTATATCCATGTTCGTAAAAATACATGTGATATCTAATGTTGGAATAATTAGGACAAGTAAAGAAGTAATGTAAAGTATCCTCATAGGGGTGACCACAGGAGCAGAATGGATCAACTGAAATGTGCTGTTCAAACGTGTGCTTTCAAATCACTGCACCCAAGTCTGAGGCTTGAGTGGATAATTTGGCAGAAACGTGTACCAAAGTTTTTATCAATTACATTAAAATTAAGTTGTTTTGATGAGTGTAATACATTTTTTAATTGGCCTATGGTTTCAATATCGTACATATTCTCAGGCAAATCATTCCATTGTCTTATTGTATCTGTTAAAAACGAATTGCTATACAAATCACTACGACATCTTATAGTTTGAATGTTATTTCTGTTTCTTAATCTATGGTCACGTAATTGTGATACTTTTTCTGGCAGTAGATCAGTTAAATAAACTGGTGTCATATGATGAACCATTTTGTAAAAAAAAGATAACTTGCTAATTTGTCTACGGTCAACTAGGGGCATGGAGTTAGTTTCCTTATATATTACACCATGACTTGTTCCTTTAACTCGTTATAGTTTTTAACCGTTATGGAAGAGAGATCCGGGTTAGAAATAGTCGTCAGCAACCCATGCTTGAGGCGGCTAACGGGATCGGGTGGGATCGGGTGGTCAGGCTCACCTGGTCGGCACATGTCATCGTATCCCAACTGTGTAGATCGATCGATGCTTGTGATGCAAATCACTGGATTATCTGGTCGATTATTTACAGACCGGGGTCAAATAACAGAAAATTTGCTGAATGCAGCGTTAAACAACAAACAAACAAACGGTATGAGTTTTAAAAACTAGGGTAAGTGTTCAACTCTTCTCTTGTAAGTGGTTCAAGCATGGCCCTGCCGCGTTGCTCGTACACATCGCATTATATGATATACCCACAGAGGGGAACACTCTACACTACTTGAGATATGCTCCCTATTGAAGCCTTGAAAGCAAACAAAACCACTGACACGAATATACTGTTTGAAAAGAAGTTAAGGAACACCCAATTCTTTCATACTAATATAGTTATTATGTATGCCATGAAATCAATTATGGTCATATGACAGAATCTGGAAACATGGCATGAAAGATTGACTCTACTAGATGAAAGAAATGGGTAAGATTCCAGGACAGATTAACTGTACTCATACG